CGTGACTCACTTGGAGCCCGCAGAATCGAATTTCTGATCTGCTGGAAAGATCGCACGCCCACCGAAGACAACTGGGTTCCCCTGGATAAAATTGAAAACCACCCCGTCCTCACCGAGTATCTGCGCAGCCAAAATTTCCGGGATGTGCACGCGCTTTCGTAAGGAAGGGCCTCCTTAGGGGGGGGGGGGGGGGTGGGGGGTAGTGTAAGAAAAATTCCTTTTCCTTACTTTGCGTCCCTGCTCAGCGCGTACACCACTGTTCTGTTGAGTGCAAAATGTGGTTTGCACGTCAACCTACCGCCTATTCGCCGACGATAAAGGAAAATGAGAGTTTTTGTTTTAAGGTAATTTGTGGAGTGCGAGGAGCGCATTTGTGTGCTTTACATTTGTGCGTTTACGGTTTGTGAATCGCCTTAGCAGTTCATAAGTTACATGCATTTTTGTGTGTGAGTGCATTTCATGAATGTTCATGAGTTTCCGTGAAAGCGCATGAAAGTTCGAAAGTTTCGGTAAGTTCGCGTGAGTTCGCGATTGTTCATGAGTCTGCGTGTGCGCTCATTGTTTCTCATGTGTTTTCGTGAGTTTTCGTTAGAGTTCATGAGAGTTCATATTTTTCGTGAGTTTTAGAGTGTGGCGAGTGTTTTGTCACTTTTGACTATTTCGTGCTGGTCAAGGTCAGCCGAGCGCGAATGTCAGGGACCCGCGTGTGGGGTCCTGACACGCGCGTGTGGCCCCTCAGGCCTCGTGCGTGTGCCTCGTACTGTTGCGAGCGTGGCAGGGCCCACGATCGCAACAGGACAGGGGACATTACTGCCCTGTCCTCGCGCAGGACAGCGCACGTCAGTGCGCTGTACAGCACGACCGAAAAGTCGGTCGTGCATGATTGCACCCCTCAGGGGTGCGCGTGGGTTTCGGGGGGTGTTGAGGAATCCCGAAGGGTGCTTGGGGTTGACTCGAGATTTCAGTTGAATAACTGAATCTCGAGCTTTGACTTTTGTGACGTGGCAAACAAGATACTTCGCTGGAAAGTCGCGCGCCTAGCGAGACAATTTCGTTTCTGGTACAAAACGGTCAATTCCGTTTTACAACGGGAAAACGGTTTTCCCCACACGAGGCTTCATGAGTGTTAACGGGAATTCATGAGTGCTCACGAGGGGAGTCAGCAGGGGCGTTTGGATCAAGTACAACTCGAAGTCAGTTATTCTAATGAAGCGGATCAAGCCAAATGCAGCTGAAGTTTGACAACCGTTTTCTAAGACAACATGGCGAAGTCTCGTATTACAGTTTGATAACTGTTTAATGTTTGCCTTGTGATTTCCTTTGCTCCTCCATTAGACTTTCTATAAATGTGTGCTTGTGTTTGATAATAATCAACCTTTTGTGCAACACTTTGACGAGTGAAAATATTCTCTATCGACGTATTGACGCGAGGAGAATTTTCTGCACACGTACCAATCAATCGTCAACGCTTCCGCATATGAGTTTGGGAATGCTCTAGGAGCACACGACAGTTTTCATACTTAGGGAATCCCTCTACAAACACGGACCCTTGGATAGGGGCTGGTTCTACCAGGCACCCGAGGACCCTTGGAGGTGACCCCGTGGGGACTACCTAGTGTGTTTTAAAGGTGTGTTAAGAGCGTCTAGATCCCATATAGCAGTCAACATGTTCCCGCCAACAACTCTCAAGCAGTGCACCGTTACCACTCGCGCCACTCGCCTCGACCACTGTTCCCGCCACTGTTCACGACACGACCTAACCTCACGGTTCGGTTGGTAACCCGCGCTCCGGACCTCCGCCTCGACAATTCCCAACCTCGGCGCTAGGCCCGTAGCGCACCCCATTTTCCCACATTACCGTTACCGCTGTAGCTTCGCTATATATCCTTTGCTCAGGCCTTCGCTCAATATACTGTTTTGCTTCGATAGTGCAATTCTTGCTCGCTCGCTCGATTGCACTCGTAACATTCGGAAAAAAGGTTGAACTTTTGCTGGTAACCGGTTTTCGCCAAATTCGTAAAATCGTTCGCAAGAAAATCGTGTGTCCTAGTTCAAACTGTGTGAAAGAAGTTGGACACGAACTAGAGTCGACCTCGCATTCGGATTTTTACGTTTGCTATAATCCAATCGTGTGTTCTTTTGCACACGCACGAATATTTACGAGGTTGGCGACTGTAACGATGTACAGCGTACAGTGTTATTAAATCCGTATTCGGTCACGAAAAGTACTGCGAGACCGGGTAACCTACGAAAATTTAGCGCGACTCGATAATTACTATTTAAAGTTGAACTTTGATAGTCGAACGTTGTTGTTCCATGCGCGACTCGGGCTTGTTGACGCTGCTCCTCGACCACCAACAGTCTAGATGGTCGATCACAGGTCGACCAAAGTTCAAACGTGAAAGTTCAACAAAAAAACATGAACTCCATCCAAATTTGCAAAAGACACGCGCCCTAAGATGGGACTTCCAAAGGATGAGGTTGCGGGGTCAAACCCCAGTGCGGGCGAGTTCTGCCAGCCCCCCAGAAGGGGGTTTCACACTACTCATCTGGGAGTGGATATTCCGTACCTCGGTACCCAGCGAGGCTTGGGTAGGCGGATTACGATCGACAGCCGGGGTAATACCAAAAATGGTTTCCCCTAAAACCCAAATCGGTCTGGCCACTACTTGGGGACTTGCCCTATCTGAAAAAAAAAAACACCAAACTTTCTGAAAAAAAATAATGGACCCAACTAGAAGGGGGGGGGTCACTATTTTAGCTGCTGGCTTTAAGAGTACCCTGAGGTCTCGGAATATCGGGAACCCAGATTCGCAAGATCTTGTTAGGACGCCTCACCTCTTTCGATTTTTGCGCACATCCTGAAGTGGCCCAGCTAGTTAGCTGGTTCACTTCCGAAATATGAGGTCCTGTGATCAAATCCCCCCTGCAGCGTTTACAGCCAGTCCCCACAAAAAGGGACTACACATGTGCTCATCTGCGAGTGGATAGAACAACTCGTTACCCAGCGAGGCGTGTAAACACATGGGGAGGCGGGTTACGACCGACAGCCGGGGTAATACCAAATGGGGTTTCCCCTATAACCTTAACCTTTCGGTTTTTGCACGATCGATCCTGCACAGGATAGAATTTTCAAGAAATTTAAAACGGTTCTCAATCTATTAAAGGTAACAAGCAGGTGGTGGACGATCGGTTTTGGACGATCGATCACGCAAATCGAAAGAGGTGAGGACGCGGTGAAAGTAGACGATCGATCGTCAGTCGCGATCGATGTGCAGATTGGTTACCCTATTTACAGCACTGTAACCATGCTACAGTTAGCTTTTTGGCCAAAATCTGTACAGTGTGTGCATGCGACTGATCACTGATCGCGGGAGATCTGTCAATTCTCATGTGAGATCGTTACAACGTCGTGGTCGCCATGTTTCGCCGATCGATCTGCCCACTCGATTGTGGAGCTCGATATTTGCAGACGATCCTGCGATTTTTGCACTTTCTCCGCGTCCTGACTCGTCCTCAGTAGACAACAAACGCGTTGCGAAGAACTCTCACACACTTCCCAACTCCTAGCTGTCAGCCGTCGGCATAAATCTTCGTAGATGTTAGGGCGTGTAACTTTTGCCGTTTTCGTCAAATGTCCGGACGGAGCCCCCAAAACGTCCGAACAGAGCTCCGTCCGGACGTTTGGGACTCAGGTCCGGACGACAGCCCGTCCGGAACACAGATGTGGAACTTTTTGGAAACCCGAAAATTTTGAATTTCGTTACGAAATGATACAGGCATTACTGCAATCGTAAAGCGTCGTGAGGGTTCGCCTCCAAAAATCGGCGGCGTGGTATTGGGTAAGATTTTCAACACGTCGTGCGCCAATGACAGCGCAGAAAAATCGGACGGTCCGATATGCCGTTCGGACGGTGTTAGCAGGGTAGTCCGGACCAATATTTGACAGAAAAAGTGTCAGACATGGTCCGGACGGTGGCGACGTCGCAGGGCGTCTCGCGAATCCCTTACCGAGGTGCTGCGAAATAAGTTACCCTACAAATGTCCGGACGGGGTCTCCGTCCGGACGATGAAATGTGAAAAAGTTACACGCCCTTACACTCCCTTTATATTCACACACAAGATGACGAGCATTCAGGTCCGAATACTAGGGTTTCGAAATACCTAATCCGAACAGACACTGTCAGACACTTGTCGGGCTTAGGCAGCAATCAACATAGGGTAGATGACTGAATTCATAAAACGTGCCGGATTTTGATACATTACTACTATCCACGTCCACAGTGTTGCAATTCGACACATCCAGATAGTCTTTCTTCGTCCAGAGCAACAATGCAGGGTGGGTGAGGGAGTATGTGTCGGGCTGTTTCGTCAGTATTATCCAAACACCAATCGCGGCGAGACCGATAGCCGCTGCGTGCCACGTCAGCAGCGTCAGCTGATGCCGGTACCGGGACCCGCTTCACCTCGCACATCTCCTACTGCAATCAGCACTCCGTTATTTTTTACAGGACTAAAAAATCATCTCCAGCTCGTACATCTCATCCCAGTGATAAAATCGGCGCTCTTTTCAGTAACTCCTCGCTATAGCAAGTCCCGTTTCTGCTTCTGCGGCTCTGTCCGCCGCCATGTTTCCTGGAGCCAGTGCACCCTCTGCTGCTGTTAGTCGCCCCATCGACTACTCCAAGTGGGACCATGTGGGCGATAGCAGCGACGAGGAGGAGAGAGAGAGGGCGAGTGATGAGGAGGACAGGGAGAGCGGGAGTGATGAGGAAGAGAATGACAATGAGATTGATGAGGTCGAGAGAGAGTATAGCAGCGACAAGGAGGATGCTGCGGGGAGAGAAGAAAGGGAATTGGAGAAAGTGGGCAGGCGGATTCTCGGAATACAGCTAGAGCAGAAGCAGGAGCAGTGTAGGGAACACATCCAGGAGCAAGGGCAGACCGCTGTGAAACAAGGTGGTTTAAAACGTGTCACTTCGCTGATATCTAGATCCGGAATGGTGCATTTCGTCAACACATACGGCTCTGGCGCGTGCGAGGCTGAGTCTCCCTGCTCCTGCTGCGTCCACCGTGTGCTTGGCACCCGAGGGAAAGCAGCCCTTGGCATCCTGAGCTTAAAGGACTTCCAACGCGACTTACTTCAGCAACTGCCCAAGTCCATTCCCCTGGCAGCACCAGAGTGGCAGGGAGGGGGTGGGTCCCTAAAAGGTGAGAAAGGAAACCACGCGGCAAAAGAGGTAGCAGAAGTAGTGGCAGAGAAGGGGGCGGGAGTAGCAGCTATGGGAGCAGCAGAACTTGGAGCAGCAGGCGAGGGAGAAAACGTAGCGGCAGAGAAAGGGAAGGGAGCGACAAAGATGGGGGCGGCAGGAGACGTTGATGATTACAGTTGGAAACGAGCCCCTTACCTGTGTGCGAAGTCCATGATTCTCGAGTGGATGGCTGAGCCTCGTGTGGGCATGCTCATGGACCTGGGGAGGATCAGATCCCGTTTGCCTGCAATCATCGCCGCTACAGATGCTCCTGCTGCTCCTCATACACATGCTGCCACCTCCGCCTCCTCTGCTCTCCCCTCGCGCACCCCCCCTGCCTCGGTCCCCTGGCACTGCTGCTGGCGTTGCAGCAGCTGCTGGGCCTCCTACCGTCGCGCTGTGTCCCTCTGCGCCTTCCTTGTTGTTGTAGCAAATTCTCCTCGCTTTGTGATTTTATGGAGGGCCCAGCTTGCCTCCCTTACAGGCCTCTTCGCTCCTATTGTGGAGGAGCTAGGGGCACACAGGCAGGGGGAGAAAGACAGCTTGGCGTCGGTGCTGGTGCAGGTGCTGGGGGTTAAGGGAGGAGAGGAGATGAAAGACGGGTTTAAAGCCCATCTGCTGCCGCTGCTGCCTGGTGGCGCGGAGGCACACAGAGAGAGCGAGGGTGGAGCAGGGGAGGATAGGGGAAAGGGCGGAATAGCGGATGGCGGGAGAAAAGGGAGGAATGGGGGGAAGCAGGAGGCTGGGAGAAAGGGTGGAAGACGCGAGGGAAAAGGTGATGGTGGTGGTGCCGGCAGCAGTTGGGAGTGGAGGCGGGGGCTGGAGGGTCCTCCTGTGTGGAACAGGTATGTGGGCGGTGTGGCTTGTCTTCTTGCGCATGAAGGGCGGAGCGGGACAAGGGTCCCAAAAGCCGTTTCTGGCAGCAGCGGTGATCCAAATGGTTCTCTTATCTCACGCATCGCCAAGGCTTTCAGCAGCAGTGGTTGTCCCAAGGGCATGTTTGGGAGTGGCATTGACGCCACTGATTTCGCCCTTACCGTTGCTACAGTACTCTCCAAGCCCAGATTCTCCATGGAGGCTTGCCGGATATTTTTCACAGATGCTAATAACGAGTATCGAGTGAAGCTGGAGAATTCTGCAACTGAGGCTGCCAGGAACAAAGTAGGCATGGCTGCAGAAAGAGAGAGGGGAGGTGGTGATGCAAAGAGCCGTGGAGCTGAGATTGGTGTGAGAGGTACAGTGAAGGACGGCTGGGAGGCGGTAACTGCAACCAGTAACACGCTCGTGACTGTGCTGACGTGGAGGGTGAGCTGCATTCTTATGTGGGTCCGAACCTACGGCCCGAACCTGCAATCTCCGAAGGCATGTGCACTCCAAACCTGCGTCAAGCCAAAAAAGGATCTCCCAGTCCTCCGCCACCCATTTCGGGATCTCCCGAGCCTGCTGATCAGGTCCGGCACCATGCCGGAGCCCTTGGTTCGGCGGGGCTTTTCTTGGGAGTGGGAAGAGGTGCCTGCTGGCGATGAAGCTGCTATAAAGCTTGCTGATGACGTGGAGGGGAGGATTCTATATGAGAGAATCCTTAAGGAGGTGTACGGGGCCACTGTTGACTGGAAGATTCCAGCAAATGCAGCAGCAGCATCGTCAGCAGCATCGTCGTCAGCAGCAGCAGCAGGTTCAAGAAGCCGTCCGGTGGTTCGCGCGGTGGCGGACGTGGAGTTCCTGGTGGAACTGATGGCAGCAGAGAGAGAGCCTTCCACATGCACGCGGTGCTGGAAGTGCCACCTCCGGCACGCCGCTGCCATCAACTACGTCGCGCTGCTCGCCTCCTTCGCCTACCGCCCCGTCTCCACCCTCATCCACCGCTTCCTCTTCCTCTTCCCCCCCGACCAAACCAAAGAGGCGTACACCCTTCTCCGCATGTTCATGCCGTCAGGGCTTGAAGAGAGGGTGAATTGGAGGCATGTGAGAGGTCGCTTGGAAGGGTTCGCAGAGGAAAAGGAGATGGGGATGTTTACGCATGCTTGTACGATGATAGCGTGGACGTGGACCAAAGAGGAGGAGACAAATCCAGGGCGCTTTGCACGACTGGCAGCGCAGCAGGGTGCGGAGCAGGGGAAGGGTGGGGTGAGCAAGTGGAAGCAGCTGGATAGTGAGATGTGGGAGGAGGTTCGGGCGTGGCGGCACGCTGCCAAGGCTGCGTGGCCCGGGGACAAGAGGAATTGGATGGGAGAGCTGCGGGATGAGTGCACGGGTGGCAGGAAAGGGACGAAACGTGAGAGCAGTGAGGAGGAAGAGGGGGAAGAAGAGGAGGGGGAAGAGGAGGAGGGGGTGGTGGGGGCGGAGGAGGGGCCAGTTTATGTGCACAAGTGGGTGGGAGGAGTGAACCTGGTGGCTTGCCTGAGAGCCATGCTGCTGGGGGAGCCATGGAAAGGTGGGTTAGCAGCGATGCCAGAAACGGCAAATCGAGCAGCAGGGAACAGCGCCACTCGGAATCGAGCAGGAGCAGGGAGCAGAGCAGTAAGAAGCCAAGAACCCGGAACCCCAGCAGGAGCTTTCTGGACAGATGCATCTGGTGTAGATACCCGGGCAGAGCGGCTGAAATCAGGGTACCGGCGGGTGTGCCAAGGGCCAAAGTGTAGCTGTGTGGAGTGGGATGGCGTGGAGCTGAAGCTGTGTGCGCGGTGTGGCAGTGAGGCGTGCCAGAAGGCTGCCTGGCCCTCCCACAAGCTCACATGCCGCCCAAAGGGACAGGGGAAATGAGATTCATGAGAGAGACGGAGGAGGGGGAGGGGCATGTGATGTGAAAGAGGCGCACTGCAGCGGAGAGCACTCACAAGAAGCTCACGTGCCGCTCACAGGGGCCTGGGAAAGGAGAGGCTTGAGAGAGGCGAAGTGGTTTGTGAGGGGGGAAGGTGTTGTCTGGGCGGGAGTGGCAGTAAGGCGCACTGCAGCAGGGAGGACCAGAAGGGCTTCTGATGAAGTGCTTTTGGTTCACCTGCATGCTCAGGCGTGAGTAGTGAATTGAGCACTTTCACCCGGAAAATCCGGTGGTCAAATTCTCCTGGTAAATTGCCTGATAGACCCTGATTTAGTTTCCATTTAGTAAGGCCATGAGTTCAGGGAAAACCAATTTCTCACCCTGATTCCAATAAAAGTAGTACCTCTGCAGCAGTGCTTGCCGGGGTGGGGTGCAGGGGGGGAGGGAGAAGAGGGTACGGTGAGGGAGGAGGGGGAACAAGATGAGGAGCAGGGAGAAAAGCGGCACCAGAGAAACGAGGGCAAGGAGGGTGATGAGGGCAAGGAGGGTGATGAGGGCAAGGAGGGTGATGAGGGCAAGGAGATTGAAGTGTGAGGTGAACTTATGGTAGATAGGCAGCCTCGGAAAGTGGTGAAAGGCAATCAGTGAAGGCAGGATGTCAGTCGGAGTGACATGGAGAGCAGGGCTGGTGGCGAGTGGATGAGGTTGTAAGGGCTGTGGATGAGAGTGGTGCCCACTGATGCCATGCCTGTTAGGCTGCCTGGCGCTGATGCTGCCTCGTTGGTGCTGCCAGTGCTGCTTCAAGGGACAGCATACTGGACGGTGAGCAGGCATCCTCCCGGCTTCCGCCGAGAGTATGAAGGCCCTGAATCCCATGAAGAGCCACCATCTTCTTTACAATGCTCATTGTGACTCCTGTTGACAATTCCACTTTCAATTCGCCCTGTGTTCCAACTGGTTTTATTGTCCTTGTCCCTTATGCTTTGTTCTTGTTCTCCACCCCTACTTCTATGTCCTGGTCCTTGTTAAACCCTCTTTCCACGTTCCCCACTTCCTCACCACTCCTGTGCCCATAACCTCAGCAACTTGGGGTGGTGTGGTCGGCAGGCATGAGGCGGCAGGCATCCGTGAGGGAGTATATTCTCGTGGGGGAGAAGGAGGGCGGCATCTGTGGTCATCTTCTGCTGATGTGGCACTCCTTGGCTTGCGGACGTGGCAACCGGCTGGGAGACTGAAGCGGAAACGGTAGAGGGCAGATGAGGAGGAGAAAGAAGCAGAAGAGGAGGATGAGGAGGAGGGAGGGAGAGGATGAGGAGGGCGAGGAGTGGAAGCAGGATGACAATGAAGTGGAACAGGGGGACCACCTTGCAACCTCGAGTGATTAGGCCAAGAACGTCAGCAAGGGGAAAAGGGCAGAGGAGACAAGCACACAAGGAAAGTGCAGGGGAACTCAAGAGAGTGTGAGCAGCAGGCCGATAATGATGAGAGCGGGAAGGCATTGGAGGGAGGTGCGGATGGGTGGGAGCAAGTGGAATGTTTGTGGTTGGATCAGCCAGTGGCAGGTAGGGCGGACGGACGAGCGCTTGAGCTGCACCCGGCACTCGTCCACTGTGGCATTTCAGGCGATGCGTTGTGGAAAGGTGAAGAGACGGCGAGGCAGTGCAGTGCAGGATGAGCAGGGTTTAGGTGCACATCTATGGAGGCTGATGGAGGGTGAGCAGCAGAAGAACATTACCGAATCTGGTTTCGGGTTACTTACCTCCTGACTTCATTGTTCAATCACCGCCCAAGTGATTGCAACTATTTGTGCAACCGACCCACGTGGCTGAAAAGGCTGAAAAGTTTGTCCAGGAGTTATCTGTATGGAAAATCCCAGAATCGTAGCAACCTGGCAACCTGTTTTCGTGTTGCAGTTCACTTTGACATCAGTAAGAATAGATGGTCCTTGTTTTATCACTACACAACAAATAACATGCTGGCAAGTGATAGCAATAAAACATACCGTAGTACGGTATATGCAAAGGCCAAACAGACTCAGAGCACTTGTATAAACAAGCCTTCAAGCCCTCTCATTTGTAATCCTTCTATTGTAGCCTCTCTGTATTCACTCAATCTGCTACAACCCATGAGGTACCACGCACCCCTATCCTCCCCTCTCCCTTCCCCTACCCTCCCCTTCACTCTTCCTTCCTTACCTCCACTTCAAAACCCTCCTTCCAGCTTTCCCCGCGGATGCTTTCACGCCTGCGCCTGCCACTGTCCTTGCAACTGACCTCACCAATCATCTTTCCACTATCACCCCACCTTTCCTTACCACCATTCTGACCACTACTACCCCCACAACCACTCCTTGCCAATTTTCATGCAGGCACCCCCACTCCCATCCTTCCCACTGGTTCTGCCGGGGCATGTGAGATTGTGGGAGGGCCAGTGCTCCTTTTGGCACTCTCTGCTGCAATACGCTACCTTGCCACACCCACCCCACCTCCTCAGCTTTGCAATACCACCCCCCACCGTCCCACACCCTCCAGCACCGCACACAGTGCCTTGGACACCTGAAGCAATATCAACAGTAGCATGACCACGAACGCTCATTGCAGTGGGGGTGGGGGAGGCAGCAGGACGAGAAGGAATAGCAGCAGCAAGACGGGTGGAAGAAGTACCAGGGGCGGAAGACGCAGGGGAGGCAGGGCGGTAGCACGGCTCCCCCAGCAGCATCTCTCGCAGACATGTCACCAGATTGACTCCCCCCGGCCATGCCTTCAGAAAAGCTGGCTCCTCCCCCATGTTGCCCTTCCACTTGCTAAAGCTGGCTCCTCCCCCATGTTGCCCTTCCACTTGCTAAAGCTGGCTCCTCCCCCATGTTGCCCTTCCACTTGCTAAAGCTGGCTCCTCCCCCATGTTGCCCTTCCACTTGCTAAAGCTGGCTCCTCCCCCATGTTGCCCTTCCACTTGCTAAAGCTGGCTCCTCCCCCATGTTGCCCTTCCACTTGCTAAAGCTGGCTCCTCCCCCATGTTGCCCTTCCACTTGCTAAAGCTGGCTCCTCCCCCATGTTGCCCTTCCACTTGCTAAAGCTGGCTCCTCCCCCATGTTGCCCTTCCACTTGCTAAAGCTGGCTCCTCCCCCATGTTGCCCTTCCACTTGCTAAAGCTGGCTCCTCCCCCATGTTGCCCTTCCACTTGCTAAAGCTGGCTCCTCCCCCATGTTGCCCTTCCACTTGCTAAAGCTGGCTCCTCCCCCATGTTGCCCTTCCACTTGCTAAAGCTGGCTCCTCCCCCATGTTGCCCTTCCACTTGCTAAAGCTGGCTCCTCCCCCATGTTGCCCTTCCACTTGCTAAAGCTGGCTCCTCCCCCATGTTGCCCTTCCACTTGCTAAAGCTGGCTCCTCCCCCATGTTGCCCTTCCACTTGCTAAAGCTGGCTCCTCCCCCATGTTGCCCTTCCACTTGCTAAAGCTGGCTCCTCCCCCATGTTGCCCTTCCACTTGCTAAAGCTGGCTCCTCCCCCATGTTGCCCTTCCACTTGCTAAAGCTGGCTCCTCCCCCATGTTGCCCTTCCACTTGCTAAAGCTGGCTCCTCCCCCATGTTGCCCTTCCACTTGCTAAAGCTGGCTCCTCCCCCATGTTGCCCTTCCACTTGCTAAAGCTGGCTCCTCCCCCATGTTGCCCTTCCACTTGCTAAAGCTGGCTCCTCCCCCATGTTGCCCTTCCACTTGCTAAAGCTGGCTCCTCCCCCATGTTGCCCTTCCACTTGCTAAAGCTGGCTCCTCCCCCATGTTGCCCTTCCACTTGCTAAAGCTGGCTCCCCCATGTGCCTCACTTGCTAAAGCTGGCTCCTCCCCCATGTTGCCCTTCCACTTGCTAAAGCTGGCTCCTCCCCCATGTTGCCCTTCCACTTGCTAAAGCTGGCTCCTCCCCCATGTTGCCCTTCCACTTGCTAAAGCTGGCTCCTCCCCCATGTTGCCCTTCCACTTGCTAAAGCTGGCTCCTCCCCCATGTTGCCCTTCCACTTGCTAAAGCTGGCTCCTCCCCCATGTTGCCCTTCCACTTGCTAAAGCTGGCTCCTCCCCCATGTTGCCCTTCCACTTGCTAAAGCTGGCTCCTCCCCCATGTTGCCCTTCCACTTGCTAAAGCTGGCTCCTCCCCCATGTTGCCCTTCCACTTGCTAAAGCTGGCTCCTCCCCCATGTTGCCCTTCCACTTGCTAAAGCTGGCTCCTCCCCCATGTTGCCCTTCCACTTGCTAAAGCTGGCTCCTCCCCCATGTTGCCCTTCCACTTGCTAAAGCTGGCTCCTCCCCCATGTTGCCCTTCCACTTGCTAAAGCTGGCTCCTCCCCCATGTTGCCCTTCCACTTGCTAAAGCTGGCTCCTCCCCCATGTTGCCCTTCCACTTGCTAAAGCTGGCTCCTCCCCCATGTTGCCCTTCCACTTGCTAAAGCTGGCTCCTCCCCCATGTTGCCCTTCCACTTGCTAAAGCTGGCTCCTCCCCCATGTTGCCCTTCCACTTGCTAAAGCTGGCTCCTCCCCCATGTTGCCCTTCCACTTGCTAAAGCTGGCTCCTCCCCCATGTTGCCCTTCCACTTGCTAAAGCTGGCTCCTCCCCCATGTTGCCCTTCCACTTGCTAAAGCTGGCTCCTCCCCCATGTTGCCCTTCCACTTGCTAAAGCTGGCTCCTCCCCCATGTTGCCCTTCCACTTGCTAAAGCTGGCTCCTCCCCCATGTTGCCCTTCCACTTGCTAAAGCTGGCTCCTCCCCCATGTTGCCCTTCCACTTGCTAAAGCTGGCTCCTCCCCCATGTTGCCCTTCCACTTGCTAAAGCTGGCTCCTCCCCCATGTTGCCCTTCCACTTGCTAAAGCTGGCTCCTCCCCCATGTTGCCCTTCCACTTGCTAAAGCTGGCTCCTCCCCCATGTTGCCCTTCCACTTGCTAAAGCTGGCTCCTCCCCCATGTTGCCCTTCCACTTGCTAAAGCTGGCTCCTCCCCCATGTTGCCCTTCCACTTGCTAAAGCTGGCTCCTCCCCCATGTTGCCCTTCCACTTGCTAAAGCTGGCTCCTCCCCCATGTTGCCCTTCCACTTGCTAAAGCTGGCTCCTCCCCCATGTTGCCCTTCCACTTGCTAAAGCTGGCTCCTCCCCCATGTTGCCCTTCCACTTGCTAAAGCTGGCTCCTCCCCCATGTTGCCCTTCCACTTGCTAAAGCTGGCTCCTCCCCCATGTTGCCCTTCCACTTGCTAAAGCTGGCTCCTCCCCCATGTTGCCCTTCCACTTGCTAAAGCTGGCTCCTCCCCCATGTTGCCCTTCCACTTGCTAAAGCTGGCTCCTCCCCCATGTTGCCCTTCCACTTGCTAAAGCTGGCTCCTCCCCCATGTTGCCCTTCCACTTGCTAAAGCTGGCTCCTCCCCCATGTTGCCCTTCCACTTGCTAAAGCTGGCTCCTCCCCCATGTTGCCCTTCCACTTGCTAAAGCTGGCTCCTCCCCCATGTTGCCCTTCCACTTGCTAAAGCTGGCTCCTCCCCCATGTTGCCCTTCCACTTGCTAAAGCTGGCTCCTCCCCCATGTTGCCCTTCCACTTGCTAAAGCTGGCTCCTCCCCCATGT